GTGGACAGCAGGCTACATAGACAGCTAACTAATTAATTACTTATCTTTGTGTTGGATCAAGAAATCATCTCCACCACAACAGTCCTCAACTAAGACGCTTTCTTGAGTACTGCTGTGATCACACTTATGAGGTCAATAACGAAATCTTAGTCTGTTTACATCATAAGATACTACCACTTGAGAACGCAGTCCGTTTAAACTGAAATGTTAATCGCAAATAAGTAACTAATAATTTAGAATTAGTCTGAGACCGATGCTAATTACAATCATAATAATATGATCACACCTATTTAAAATAGTATTACTATCACTAACAATACTTATGTTGAGCCCTAGATCATCATTAAAATAATTTCACATCAAATAAAGTTAGTTCCATCAAACACATTTAGATTTATATGCAGTACAATACGCAACAAAGCAACAGTTGAAATGACAGCTACAGCGATCAATAAACAGTGTATTCTTGTATTAAAACATCGATATAGAAAGTGATACCAAATCGATAACCAAACATCAGAATGTACTTGTATTTTGAAATATGACTACAAATGCAACTAACGCTAAAATCTTTATCCTAACCATAACTAAATACATATTATTATCAATCTGTTCAATTGCTACAGTCACTATTTATACTATATATGAGCACCACATATGCTTATATCAGCTATATATCTCAGTTCTTAGATATTTCAGTCAATTCTACTTAACTCGGCACTCACTTTTACTTATTCTGGTTAGTGCGCGTTGAATAGCTCAACTACTCTCGGCATAATTGATGCGTATGGTTCTTACTTACATCAATGCCCACTCAAAATTCACTCAGTTCATGAAATAACACTCATTCATTCAACCCATCCAAATGTTTAATGATTACCGTTTCATCACGCAACTGACATTTCGTCTATTGAGCACAAGAATATCGCTGCACCATTTGTTGTGAACTCTCTTCTGCATAAGACGCATTGCTCATGGTCATTACATCTGACCGTTATTGTAATCCTAGTCCACTTGTCATGGTTGATACATGCTTCACCCATAGATGAATGTAACTACAGTCATCCAACTAATCAGTTGTTGATACTGCTGCTGTTTACGGACTGTATGTTTTATTTCCAGTCTTACCGTAACTAATTTAACACCGCCTATAGCTCTTCTAGAGTTACTGCAGGTCCCAAGCTCGGGTGAAGTAGGAGGGTCGGGCATGTAGTTAGCAACCCCATCTCGTAGAAAACTAACTCGCTAAAAAAATGCTAACGAGAAAAAATAATTCAAACCATTTAAACTCTGCTTCGTTGTCAGAAGGTCTTCATTTAGAAGAATTATGATGCTTCATATTGAAAGCCGAGTTCCTTCGGAAGTCACGAGGCCTATGCCTCTTCTAACAATCAGAGCAACAATTTTTGAAGGTACATAAAACATTCGAACAATGTGGGAGACTGGAAACATCAGTCAAATAGCAATGGAAATGAGGAGATACAACTCGGCAGTACTGGGAATCAGCGAAACCCACTGGACCCAACTGGACAGAAAAGGCTAGCTACGAGAGAGATGCTGCTATACTCCGGTCACGAGGAGGACAATGCTCCACACACTCAGGGAGTCGCTCTTATGCTGTCCAAAGTAGCACGAAATGCACTTTTGGGATGTGAATCTTACGGATCTTGAATCATCAAAGCATCATTAAAAAGGAAGAAGGAGGGGATCACAATGAATATTGTCCAATGTTATGCACCCACCAATGAAAGCATAGACGACATTAAAGATCAATTCTACGAGCGACTGCAATCAATCATAGAGAAATGCCAAGAGATGACCTCACCATTCTGATAGGAGATCTAAATGCCAAAGTCGGAATAGACAACACCGATATGAAGATATTATGGAACGACATGGACTGGGAGAGATAAACGAAAATGGGGAGAGATTTGCAAATCTGTGTGCATTCAACAAATTGGTCATAGGGGGCACAATATTTCCACACAAGCGTATACACAAGGCTACATGGATCTCACCGGACCACACTACAGAAAACCAGATAGATCACATTTGCATCAATAAAAAGTTCCAAAGGACAATGGAAGATGTGAGAACCAGGAGAGGAGCTGATATAGCTCCAGATCACCACCTAGTTGTGGCCAATTTAAATCTGAAGCTAAAAAAGAACTGGACAACTGGACAAACAGCAATACAAAGGTTCAATACAGCCTTCCTCTGAGATACTGACAGACTCAATGAATTCAAGATAGCTCTCAACAACAGGTTCCAAGCCTTACAACATCTACGAGATTGGATCTTGAATACGTATATTTCATGCAATCGTTGATTCAAACAAAAGATCAGAGAAGAGAAGAGAGAGTGAGTTAAGTATTTTCATTGTCTTATATTACTGACTGATCATTAACCACTTTCAGTGAGTTCTGGGTTTAATAAATACATTTTTGATTTTCTTCAACTATCTATCTTATGGTTTTATTCACATTGAATAATGGTCGGAATTTAAATCAAATCAAGCGAGTAGCAACTGTCATTAAATAATCAATAAATTACCATATGAAAACCGTTACCGGATACCATAAGAGTACATTTCCACAATCAATAAATATAACTGGCTCACTGAATCATATTCCAAGTGTTCTTCAAAATCTTCCTCATTTTACTCGATTATATGTAGGTATGTTTTCTTTTATGGATCATTATAATGAACTGTTGGCCTCCTTCCTAGCCAGCATGTAATTTAAAGCATGAAAAATAGGTTAAATAAGAATGAATATATTCATTCTTCATGTTTGTTGTATTAAGATGCTCCGATTTAATCTGTCCTGGTGCAAAACGTTTGTAGTGTCGGTTGCTGTGTTAAGTTTATACAGTTTATTCTAGCTTCCAGACAGGCCAATTTATTCATTCTCCTTAAGCCACATTTTGACCTTGTCAATTATTCTCTTGTTATCCCTGACTAGTTTTATCTTAGCGTACGTGTGTGCATTTCATAACTTACTCATCACATGTCTGCAACTTATTTTTGTGACAATAAATATCGACTAACGCTCAATTAAATAGAGTTGGCTCACACGCCTTCTCCACTGCTCACCATTTCGCCTCACTCTCTCGTCTTCTCTTCTCTGATCTTTTGTCTGAATCAACGATTGCATGAAATATACGTATTCAAGATCCAATCTCGTATTTGACTTATTTAATTCTGCTAATCATCAACGCGAGTTAAGTCGATGATTATAGACGAGGGTAGCCGGGATGTATATTTTGACAGCAATCATTCGATAACAATTAGAAACGATCAATTTGGAGTCAGATCTCGGGTAACTAAAAGTTCTCATTTTGTAGAGTTTAAAAGTATAATTGCTCATAATGATTTCGTCTTTCAACTTCATTTTATTTAGTCCATGGAAAGCGTTATCAACTCGATTCCAATCATAAAGAACTTAAGAGAGGAATAAACAAATTCCTTCAGTAAAGAAATTCTAAATACTTTCACAATAAAGAAAAAAGACAATAAAGTTTCCTGAATGAAAATTTTCAGGCTTGATAGTATTCACTAAGTACCAAAGTCATGATTTTGATTATAATGTAGTAATAAATGAATGTAGGTTCATCTGTCCTACTGTGGTGTATGGTACTTATATCGATATAAGTAGTATATAAGACGAATAAGAAATAAAATGTCTGGCAGCAGAAGATTGAGAAGATCAAGAAGGGAAGAACGGGAACAGAAAGCAATTAGTATGAAAATGCAGGAACAATGAAATCTGAGACATTTAATGAACATTTCGCAAATGAAATATTAGAGTATGGTTTTTCTATTTTATCAAGTAACTGTAACTATGTGTTGAATATAATCGGTTATCTTCACCTGTGTTCTACTCCATTACAATACGATAGGTTATTCATCTTTGAGATATCTTGTTTTCAACGTTGCAAAATTGTCACAATCGTTATCTGTCATACGAGTGTTATCATGAGCGTCGGTCCTCTCTATATTCCAGATACCCAATTACCGAGGAGTTTTAACTTACTTACGCCTGTTACTCCTCGTGAAGGAGCATAGGCCACCTACCAGTAATTTCCATCAAACCCTGTCCTGGACAATCTTTTCCAGTTCTTTCCAGTTGTTATTCATCTTTTTCATATCTAATTCTATTTCCCGATGTTATGTGTTATTCGGCCTTCCACCTGTCTGCTTCCCTTCAGGATTTCAAGTTAGGGCTTGCCTCGTGATGCAGTTTGGTGATTTGCGTAATGTATGTCCTAACTATTTCCATCCTCTTTTGCAAAATTTCCTCTTCATCTGGAAGCTGGTTCGTGTCCTCCCACAGTAGGCTGTTGTTGATTGTATTCGGCCAATGGATGTTGAGTATCATGCGTAGACAACTATTTATAAATACTTGTACATGTTTGATGATGGTTGAAGTATTTCTGCAAGTTTCAACTCCATACAATAGAACTGAATGTCTTGACGTTCGTATTGAAGATTGTGACTTTGATATTGGTTGACAGACACTTGTTATGAGTTCCAATTGTTGTTCAATTTTAGGAATACGGCGTTTGCTTTGCTTTGCCAATGCTCACCTTTACATGTGCATCTGAACCTCCTTGTTCATCGATGATGCTTCCGATATATGTGATAGATTCCACATCTACCAGAGTTTCTCTATCAAGTTAGTTATAACCTATTGAAATTGTTATATTATTTCTAGATATGGTTATATAATATTCAATTTAAACAAATTTTTTTTTCAATTTTATAGGAATTCAGTTAATACAAACTATTCATCCTACATTATGTCCATAAATCATCACTTAGCATCATTTGTTTATAGTTTTTCATTCAACATTATTAAATATACTAAAATTCAATGTTCATTTGTTCATTAAAACAATCCGATTTAGTATAACTAAATCACCATAAATTTTATCCAGTTGGCATCATTCAATTGACATTAACTTGTATATATATATACTACATATAAGTCATTGAATTCAACATTATCAGTTATATACAATCATAATCATAATATGACTCCATTCAATTCATTTCTATTCATTTATTCATTTATTTGTATTATCCATCATTTAAGTAGTATGAATGTTAATGGACAATCTATAAAATTTAGTAAAATATCTGATAAAGTGAATTATGCAAATCCAGATCAAGCAGGGTAAGTTCAATAATGATTTCTTTGAAAAATTTGTATTGTAATTGAATATTAAAAGTGGAAAGATAAGTTTTTTTTAAAGCAAAGATGGTTTGGTAGCTATCAATGGAATCCAGGATGAGTGGTTTGTTCTATCTCAGATTCATCACTTAAATGTTTCAGTGCTAAATAACAATGAGAAGATAAAAGTAAACAATATCAAGTGAATATAACTTAACCACATTGAACGATCAGATGGCTATCAGGACTCAGTAGTTAAGTGGATAACGCTATAGCGTTTGAAGCAAACGGTACTGAGTAAGAGTCACAAAGTGAACATCAACTCTGAGATGCAGTTACATCCAGCTGACGAGTCTCAAGTAGGATGAAACACAAATCGTGGATTCCACTGCTAACCACTATTCATCTTTGCTTATAATGCTTGTGACTTCAGGCAGTCCGCACAGTATGCACATAGGTCAATAAGAGACTGATCAATTGCATTCCGAAATAATAATGGAAAGAAGCAAGCAAATAACATCAAGTGAATTTAAAAATCATTTTGTTCATGATAAGACTGGTCAATGATGTAAATCAGTATCTTGAATAAATCCACTTAATGAATTTTGTTCTGTTTAGTAATTATTAGAAAATTAAAAGTATGAATAAGGTGAAATTGTGGTGTTTTACCTCTTATATAGATGAATATAAGTAGTATGTAGCAGGAATAGGAGATAGAATGCTTACCAGAAGAAGATTGAAATAAAGAGAATATGAAAGAAAACAGGGAACAATCAGAATAACAACAAGATTAAAAGAATGATAAAGTATGTATAGGATAACTTAAGGAAGATATTCAAATGACGTATTTAATGTATGACTTTCATATTTTGCTAAGGCACTGGGTAATCTTTCATAAAACAAGAAAAAGAACTGATTTTCCCTCATCAACTCTTCGTTTTTACATCAGCAAATGTTAATCGAAGTGATACTTACGTTAAGAATTCAGTAATATTTCAATAATTTCACGAAATACTATCCCATCATGCTTTATAATTTCTAGACTGTATGAATTAGGATGATTTGTGATCCTTTGGGGGAATAAAATCAATAAAATGAGTACACCAATCATAGAAATACCTAGTCATTTGATGAGGGTTAACATATCATAGGTAAACATATAATTTACTATTTTAATATTAACTTGAATGATTTTTGAGATAAGTGTTGAGTTTGAAGTCTTATATTTAACTACATTAATTGTTGAACAGTGTTGAGTGACTTATTTTAAGGGACTAATATTTTAATCAGAGAGGGGCTTTGTAAAGATTGTAGTAATTTAATAAATGGATACCGGCTCAGTGGTCTAAAGATTAAATGTTCGCGTGCGAGATCGAAGGGGCTGGGTCCGAATCTAGCGAGGCGGGATCGGGGATGCGCACTGCTGAGAAGTCCCATACAAGGATGGAACGGCTGTCCACTGCTTTCATGCTTTCCATGGTGGTCTAGCTCCAATGTTTCAGTGTAAATTATTGGTTACTTAATGTCAGGTACTATTAAGTTTAAATTATGTAAATCTAACTACTCATCTTGTTTTCAGTTGCTTTGTGCGATTCACAATTTAAGACATTTAGTATTAGTTTTCTCCTATTATAAGTAAAATCATAATTACTTACTTACTTACGCCTGTTACGCCCAATGGAGCATAGGCCACTGACCAGCATTCTCCAGCATACTCTGTCCTGTCACTTCTTTTCTAGTTCTATCCAATTGTTGTTCATTCTTTTCATGTCTATTTCCGTTTCTTGGCGTAATGTGTTCTTTGATTTTCCTCTTCCTCTTTGACCTTGAAGATTCCACCTGGAGCTTTCTCGAGGCTACTGTCGGTCTGAAGCTCGGATAAACGAGGAGGGTTGAGCATGGGTTTGACGACCCCATCCCGTAGAAAACTAACTCACCAAAAACAACGCTAACTAGAAAAAATAATTCAAACCATTTAAGCAAAATCATAGATATGTTTATTTAAATAACTGGGTAGAATATATGATAGTTTAATGATAACATATCACATTGGTAACAGTTAATTACATCCCAGGTTATTAGTACATTTCACTAAAATGTGTGAAACGGTTTTCCTAATTCACTTATCTAACTTTACGTAGACGACGTTAAGTGAAATCATTATTATTATTATAATAATTATTATTATTGGAGTCACAAACTGACGATTAAATGTAATGGGACTTGGGAATAGTGATCATTCCATCACAATTAAGGGATCATAAATGATCATGTTCATCTACTGATCTCAGTGTCATTAATGTTCAGTGCTCAACAGCGTAAAATTAGAAAGGTACTACATCTTGTTTTTCAATGACTTCATGTTGAAGTATTATGATGAAAAATAAGCTTCTAAATAAATCAGAATGAGTTTTGTGCAGATTTTTAGAAATTTCACTGGTTGAACTCATGAGTCAATTGAAGCTAGGCCACCATGGAAAACCTGGAAGCACTGGATGGCCCTTTCGTCCTAGTATGGGCTGAAGTTAGACATTAACACCGTCGGATGCCGGCTCAGTGGTCTAGTTGGTTAAGCGCCAAGCGCGAGACTGATAGGTCCTGGGTTCGGATCTCGCGGGGGGCGGGGTCGTGGATTTCTAAATAAATCACCTTATTAAAATTAGAATCATAGTGTATTGTCAGTGTATGTATGCACATCACCATGGAGACATGTATCTCAAAGGCAAGTTATCAGTGACATATGAAATTAACTGTAAAATTTGAATTTGATCTATTGAATTCTTATTATCAAAGTACAATATGATCATCTGACAATTAACTTTATACTATAAAGTATCTTTTGTTTTAAATCAGATATCATCATTGTGCATTTTGGCATTTATCAGACGGTCATTCAATCATTGCATCATGTACACCATTCACAATGCAACGTTGTGGAAAAAATTTGTAAGTTCTGAAAGGAATTGTTATTTTGTTCTATTTTATTTGATACTATAATAAAAAGATGGTTCCATGAGTTCAATAACAGCACATATTATCCAGTTGCGTTAAACAAAATACCAGAAGGGGTTTGTGGAGATTTTAGAAATTTCACAGATTGAAATCATGAGTCTATTGAAGCTAGACCACCATGGAAAACCTGGAATCACTGGATGCCCGTTTCGTCCTAGCGTGAGACTCCTCAGCGGTGCGCATCCACGATCCCGCATCCCGCGAGATTCGAACCCAGGACCTGTAAGTCTTGCGCCAGGCGCTTAACCAACTAGACCACTGAACTGGCGGGTATCCAACGGTGTTAATGTCCAACTTCAACCAATCCACGAAGTTGCGCCACCGTATACCATTGTCTTCCGTGAGCTGATATCTCACAACAGACCTGGTTGAACTCCACTGGTATTGGCTTCTCACTAGAACTCCAGGAGTATCGCTTGAAGTCAGTCAGTAGTGAGCGGATGATTATTATCAGAAGGGGTTATGTTGAGATTTTAGAAATTTCACAGATTGAAATCATGAGTCAATAGACATAAGTTTCTCAGAAACTAGAACTACTTATGTATTGCAATATGTTAGGAGATTAGTCTTAATAATATTCCATGAATAAGCTTGTGTTCTAGTGAGTGATTATTTCATTGAGACTTGAACTACTTACTTAATTATACCTGGAGAATCTTTTCCAGTTCTTTCAGGTTGCTAGTCATCTTATTCATATCTGTTCCCAATTCTCAATTCAGTGTGTTCATTAATTTTTCTATTTTTTTCTTGGCTTAAAAATTCCATGTTAGCGCTTGCCTCAGGACGCAGTTTGGTGATTTCTGTAATGTATATCCTATCCATCTACAGCATTTTTTCATAAGTCCTTCTTCATTTGAAAACTGTTTCGTTCTCTACCACACTAGGTTGTTGCTGATGGTATCCAGTCAATTGGATATTGAGTATCTTGAGTAAACAATTATTTATATATACCTGTACCTTTATGATGATAGTTGTGGTAGTTCTCCATGTATCAGCTCCGTACAGCAGAACTGTCTAGACATTGGTATTGAAGATTCTAACATTGATATTGGTTGTTTTGAAAGGACTTGAACTAAGCAACAGATATTTCAGAAAAGAAATACTTTTCCTATTGGTGTTTATTCATGCAATTCATTCATAATAATAGATCACTACAGTCAGAATTTATCAAACTGATCTTCACTAATGATTTGATGTATTATTCTATGAACTACTAGAATTAAAACACTATACTTTACTTCACTTGATATTGTTTGCTTGTATCTTACTATGGGAATATCGAGGCAATTTGCAGAGAATGCACATATGTCAATAAGAGACTGGTCAATTGCAGTCCTAAATAACAATGAGAAGATACAAGCAAATAATACCAAGTGAATTTAAACTTCACCCCATTGCACAAGCAAGTGGCTCTCAGCACTCAGTAGCTAAGTGGATAACGCTATGGCGCTTGAAGCGAACAGTACTAGGTTCGTGTCCAAGTGTGGGCATCAACGCTGGGATGCAGGTACATCCAACTGACGAATCTCAAAAAGGACGAAACGCGCGACTTGGACTCCACTGCTAACCACTAGCCATCTTTAACTATATTTTACTATTTCTAAAATTAAGAAATTCTTTTGTTATCAAATTTTTCATACACCATAATCATAGGTGTTTCATAATTCATGTTACTTTGACTTAATAGTTTAATTATGCACGTTTTGTACTATTTAACGACATAACATCATACACAAGTATCTCATTACCAAGGTTTAACACAATAACTTGAAATAAATTGAGCATTGGGTAGAAACTGAAGAGAATTTATTGAAACGAATACTCTTTATTCATAGTAGAATGAGTAAGAAAGTGAATTTCTGATGTTTCACCGTTTAATGTTACTTTCCTGTTCAAATAATAAATAAATAACTGAATTAAATAAACACGAGGTTAAATAATGTTCAAGATTTTCTGCCAACTAGCAACAAACATAACAGTATCTTAAGGTGTTTTTTGTGGATATTATAGTAATTTCAACGGTTGAGATCATGAATCATTTGAAACTAGACCACCATGGAAAACCTAAAGTCACTGCACGGTCGTTTAATCTTATTGTGTAACTCCTCAGCAGCACGAATCCACGATTCCGTTTGCGAGATTCGAACCCAGGACCTGTTAGTCTCTCGCGCGAGTGATTAACCTCTAGACCATTGAGCTGGTCGGTATCCAACGGTGTTAATGTTTAACTTCAACTAATATGTCTCTCAATTTTATGGGTTAGTTGAAGTTAGACATTAACACCGTTGAATGCCGACCAGCTCAGTAGTCTAATGGTTAGGCGCTCGCGAGATGGGATCATGAATGCGTACTGCTGAGAAGTCACACAGTGGGATGAAAAAGCCGTCCAGCGCTTTCAGGTTTTCCATGATGGTCTAGCCTCAATTGACTCATGATCTCAACTATTAAAATTGACATAATATCCACAAAACCCCTTCTAATATTTACATTTAACTAAAAAAAGAACTATCTATTTAACACTATGTTTTATACTTTCTTATTTATTATTACCTAGAGAATTTGATTATAAATGTTGTGCAGGTTATGAAAAAATCGAGAAATTATCATATACATTTAAAGATTTTAAAAAAGGAGAATGTGCTCTACAACTTTCACCCTATGAAATGTGTATGGAGTTAATAGGGAATCAATGTAAGTCTTTATTATATATGAAATATTTAAGTTGTTCAAATGAATAGGAAATGTTTTTGTATTCAGTTAATTTTTCTATGTTGAGAAGATCTAGGAAATTCCTCGGAAAAAAAGCCAAATAATGAGGCTGTAAAAATGCTGAGAAACATTTTATCCAATTATCATTCAAGAGATATTTTACCAGAAACATTTTAGAAAGTGGAAAATCATATGCTGCGTTTCTGATTGGATGATTACTTATACTGCTAATATGTTTACTAGTGTTCCAGAAATTTCTGGAAGCCTAAGGCTATCTCAAATACTATAAATGTTTGATATGTTTGAAGAGATTCCGAGTTCACCTTATCTGAGAACGGAATGAAGACTCTGTGATAAAATAACTAATAAGTTAGCTATTCCGACGCGTCGTAGCCCCACTTACTAGAGAGAGAAGTTCAAGTTGAAAAGACGGAAATATATATTCCAGAAGCAACCAGAAGCACGAACAACAACAATAAGCACAACGCAAGCGTATATATATACAGCATAACAATGTCCTTGAGAAACGGTACAAAATAGCGTACTAAAGATAATGAATCAACAGTATTTAAATCCCTCCCAAGTGGGGAATACGACATCAAGGCGAAAATGGATGATTTGGAGCGGAAACAAGAAATTCATATTTTTAAAAGGGAATTACAAAAATAAGGTATTTATCAAGTTAGTCCCGGGGATCTAACATCCTTAACATAACCTAGATTTTCTGTGCATAAACAATCCTTTGGACGAAAGCATTTCTTCCATATTTAGCGCCTTTTCTCTTGCGTTTAATTCGCTATGTATATTTAGCCTGGGAGTTGCTAGAAGGGCTTAGGAATCGAATCTAGAAAACTTATCAAAATATATTTAGAATCTCGCTGAAACTGATGACGTTATCACGATAACTAGTAAGTAGCTACTATAAGATTTTCTTTATTCAGTCAATAAATACAGTAAAACCTAGCAACTAATGAATAATATTTCGGATGTTAAATGATTGAAAGAAATTCATCTGAAAGCCCTAAATCAAGTTAGAATGTAACTGAAATCTTGAAGTCACTAATTATTTCCGAAACATCTTGGTAAATTCACTATAATCTCCATTTTTAAGCTTCATATTGGTGATGAGGATAATTACATCAGTCGTTTGCTATATTGAAATATTAGATAAAATGAACTGCTTCTCATAGGATGCTTACTTTGGATTCTATGTTTATTGCTCACTAAAGAACATGGACAAGTTACACGATTAATTTGTCTAAACATATTGTCTGTTTCCATTTGAAGTTGTTTACTTGCATCTTCCCATTGTTATTTAGGACTGCTATTGATCAGTCTCTTATTGACCTATGTGCATACTGTGCGGATTGCCACGATATTGCCTGAAGTCACAAGCAATATAAGCAAAGATGGATAGTGGCTAACAGTGGAATCCAGTTTGACGCGCGTTTCATCCTATTTGGGATTCGTCAGCTGGATGTACCTGCATCTCAGAGTTGATATTCACTCTGTAACTCGAATTCAGTACCATTCGCTTCAAGCGCTACCACGTTATTGACTTAACTACTGAGTCCTGATAGCCATCTGGTCGTGTAATGTGGTTAAGTTATATTCACTTGATATTGTTTACTTGTATCTTCCCATTGTTATCATTGTGTTTTTTTCAGTAGCTGTTAACTTCATTAGAGTAACGTTGTTTGTTTGTTTTATTAAATTTCATTTCAGCTGACATATCTCCATTTGCAGATAAAATGAAATCACTTAATCAGTTCAATACAAAAACTCCTGATAAACCATATACAATATTTGCACCAAGTACTAGAAATGCAGAAAAATATAAAGAGTAATATTTATTGTGAATAGTATATCCTTATTATATAAACAATATAATACTTTATTTATACATTTATAAGTATGAATCGCTATAAGCGTAAGGAGAAGAGAAGATGAAACATCATAGCTGTTTATCATCCAAGGAGTCGCCAAAATGATATGCGCCACATAAGTCCTTCGATTTGTGCGAGGGTTGAGAGACTACCGGGTGCCCGAACCGAAATAGGTGGTTTGCTTAGGGGGCCACACCCGAAGCCTTCAACTTAATGGTCTGATCCACAAGGCAGTGGATAAACGTAAAGAGATGCAGTAACATGGTAGCCAGTGACCAACGATGGGTTCATACGCCATTTGTTCCCTCAGGATACTGGAGTCCATGTGCACCATTGGTTTTGAATCAGGGTTTTCCAACTCCCTTAAGTGGATCCTCCGCGTTCACTAAGCCGGTCAGAGCGCCAGACGTTCGCTTTTCTTCCTCTCGATTTCATGAACAACACCCGTGGCCTGAGAAGGCAGTAAGTAGGATTTCTCTGTCAGTGGATGTATTCACGTGGCCATTTGAGATCATTTGGAGAGGGAGAGCAGGCTCTCTCTACTCTCGGCCGTACCAGGGCATTTTGGAGCAACTCATTACAAATTTGGTAACTGTTCTTACTCAATGGTTTAGTGAATAATGTGTTGGTTTTCAAAGTTATAAGTATTTGAGTTCCAATTTGAACACTAACATCCAGATATAACTATATCTAACTGATAAATTGAATATGGGACAAAAGTCAAATCAACAATTTCCCTATTATTTAATATTCAACAACATAATAACAAGTTAAAAGAATTATGTTTGCATATACTTTTCACTAAACTTCTTCATTTTTTTCTTTTTCTTTCTACATAGTTTTACAAATTCTGCTGAACATATTGTTCCAGGTCGATTTTATTTGAAAGATTTAAAAAGTGGACTACAGCTAAATACTTTGGATCCTAAAAGAAAACTTTATGTAACACGAGAACATTATGGAGTAAGTTTAAACAAAGGGAACAGTTTTCTTTTATACACTCTGACATTAAATACTTTTTTTAAATATATATATTAATAGTTGAGATCATGAGTCAATTGAAGCTAGACCACCATGGAAAACCTGGAAGCACTGGACGGCTGTTTCGTTCTATTGTGGGAGATAGTAACTCACTGAGTACAATGGTGGATGTGTCGCTCAATTTAGTGGATTAGTTGAAGTTAGACATTAACACCATTGGATGCCGACCAGCTCAATGGTCTAGTGGTTAAGCACTCGCGCGCAAGACTGATAGGTCCTGGATCCGAATCTCGCGAGGTAGGATCGTGGATGCGCACTGCTTAGGAGTCACACAATAGAACTAAATGACAGTCCAGAGGTTCAAGGTTTTCCATGGTGGTCTAGCTTTAATTGACTCATGATCTCAACTACTGAAATTACTACAATCTCCACAAAACCCTTTCTGATACTAACAATATATAAGTTGAATAGTCATTGACAAGTTTGTTTACCAGATTTTAGAGTGATGAATAAACTGCAGTTCTTAAAATTGAATACAATAGTTTTATTCTTCATGATGTTTATGTAAGCTGTAGTAATAAAGGGATCATCACTATCTGGTGTGGCGGTCTGCTTGAATATCTGAACTACCTACTTCTATCATCCAAATATTTCAACAAGTTTTCTACTTTCTTGTTTGTTTTAACACATCATTATGCCTATTTGTCACATAACGTTTACCACCTTTCACTGTAAAAGTTACTAAAAAGTCCAATCAGAAACATCGTGCTTACTCATAGTATATATCGAAAAGAATCTACATTATTCAAATGTCGATCAAGTGGACTGCTGACATCTAACTGGCGACCACTCAATACTTATAGTCAGGATTGTTCAAGAAATATCAAACAGAAACTTGTTGCAATACTTTGTGCGGAGAATTATATATTGTACCAAAATATAATATTGAATAAAGACAATAATAATAATACCTTTGATTAAAAGACCAATAAATTACCAGAACAATTAATGGTAGAATAAAACGTGAATGAAATTAATTTCTTCAAAGGACCTAGTCTTGAATCTCAACTAAATAGTTATTATAAGATAGGACTGATAAACAATTGAATAGGTAGATTGATTTACAGTCACGTGACTCGATTGACTTTTTCAGTCTTCAGTCTTAGGGATAGTAGGTTGGTGAACTTGTGTTAATCCTGAAGCCCACTATGTCAAGAGCAAATTATGGAACATATTGTTGCATCAAGAAATCATAATGACAAGCTGTATAGCATAGTAAACGTAAACCACTATAGAGTACGTTATGTGTCCTTAATTTAACTGATAAGTCCACAAATCAATAGCATATATTAAAACAGTACTATTCAGAGTTGTTCATAGTGAATTAAGTGGACTGTATGTTGTACATTGTTTAAGTCAGTTTACTTGAGATGTTGAAGATAATCAAAAGTCATGTACGGCAGTTCTTTGTATTATGAAAGAATGATAGGGATGTTATAGCTTGTGACCTGAGTACTCTGTTAATGTATTATGTGATGATACCGCCAAATAGAGAACAGTGATTTATCGACCGGACCAATGACGCATAAGGCACGTAGGAGCAGTCTAGAGTCCTTATCGGTCTTGCTTCCTGCCTAGCCCAGCCTGTTAAGTCCAGAACACCAATCTCAGCCTCTGCAATAAGAATCATTTATTTCAGACATACTGGGTTTATATACCAATCAAACAAACCACATCGTACCAATAAAATGGGGAACAACATTTGTACAAGAATTAGCCAAATGTGGCTGTGAATGGGGGAGGTAGTAATTGATAGACATGGCATAACTCAAGAATGGCAATCGTATAATAATAGTTCATAGGTCAAAATAAAACTCATAATAAATGGGAAGTGAATATGAATAGTTTAGTTATTTAACAATTATGCGGTAAGAATATACGCATAGTATTAGTCCATAAATAGATCCAAACAGTTACCATTCATTATTCTCATCGGGATATAACAAGGGACAAAGAATATCACTAAGAATTTTTATTCAAACAGTTACACCAATTCATTTGTATTGTTTGTTTGAATCTTTCTATTGATGCTTAAGATTATAATTGGTCAGTCTCGTATTAGTGTATGTGCATCCTCTGCGGATTGTTTCGATATTGCTTCAATTCACAAGTACCTCTGCTTATAGTTTTATCAATAATCTAAAAAATTATACTCCATTGGGAGTAACAAGTGTAACTAAGTAATATCAGCATTCAGCAAAGCTTAATGTTTCGTCTTTATTTATTCCAGACTGTTTCAGTTGATTGTGTAGAACTAGTTGATGCAGATATGGAATGTAACTCTGGCATTATACATACGATTAGATATGTAAGTTTACTTAATTAATGTAGTTCGATTTATATAGAAAACAGGATAATTCAAACACTAGATTAGTCCAAATGGATGGTTATCATATAAACTAACACTGCTTTTGTAAGATACTAGGTAAGCTTTCTGGGTGGTAACTACTCGCATGAAGATGGCAAATCAATTGATGAAGTAGTGAAACTTCATCAGTTGAGATGGCTCGGATATGTGTTACGTGTGCTCAACCACCGACTACCTCGAAGTGCGATGTTTTATGGTGTAGGAGTACGTTGGAAGAAAGCTAGGGGCGGCCAGACCAAAAGATGGTACAAATCCATAAAGTCACTGACAAGTGGACTGAGCCATGTTGGTAGGTGTAGATTACCTGGTTGGGATCCTCGAGTTGATAGCAACCGATGGTTAAAGACCTTGAATGATATGGCTCGAAACCATTTGCAATGGTGTAGGTGCATTCACTCTTTGTGTTCTTCCAAATTCTAATCTTCTGACTTCATCATGTCCCTTTTTTTCTGCACTGGATTATATTCCATGAATAACATCTTCAAACCCTAATCGTTCCGATTATTGTTTATACTTTTACTACTTCTACCACTATGGGATTTGAATCGACAACTGCATCTCTGTGCTAATGTGATAGGGCAACTTGAACTGATGTACGTACGTACAAAGTTCTACGTTGTTATTGACTGACTGACTGAGTTTATCCACTCCCATTCATTAAAATAAATTTGTCAACCAATGGATTTGTTATAACTTATTTACTTTGAAACGGTAGAAACAATATCAAACCAATTGAAATGAACAGTTATTTAGTATATGCTGGTCACCATTTAAAGAGTTAGATTTCAATACAATTCAACTTCAATACTTCAAATTCAGTATTAGCTATAAAAGTTAGTATGTATTTGGTTTGATCTCTAATAATACGAGGAAGTTTGAAATGTTCGGTCGTGTTATTCCAACTTGTTTATTCTATCCATCATTTGGTTTTTTTAAGGGTTAATAAGGTATATTGAAGAAGAATTGAAATCATTCAAAGATCTATTACAGGATTTTATCGATATTATAGAAGATGTGAATTCGATGATAATTTTGAATGATAAAGAGTTTATATTGAATGTCTTTGAGTATTCACAAAAGTATTTGTACTTTAATAGAATAATCAAGATTCCCATAAATAGTGTGGGACAAGTCTTTTGAAACAATTATCAACTGCAAGACATTTATCAAATCATTAAAATTTACATTTGATTGAGCTGTATGAGATATTCATATTTTATGCTTATGAACTTCAGTAATCATATATTTTCACTGAATTGTAAAAGAGGATTACTAGCCGTTTTGTTGACGGGTCCGACTTGAGTAAACTCGGTTGCCAGTTATCTAATATAAATAGCGAACGTTAGAGATACTTTTTTCCAATTGATTATTATGGTTCTCAGAATTCATAATCTTAATTATTTACGCCTGTTACTCCCAATGAAGTATAGGCCACCGACCAGCATTCTCCAACACAATCAGTCCTCCCCCTACCTTTTTAGTTCTATCCAACTGCTGTTCATTCTTCTCATGTCTATCTCCATTTCACAACTTAATGTGTTCTTTAGTATTTGTCTTCTACTTTGGCCTTGAGGATTTCATGTGAGGGCTTGACTTGTGACACAGTTGAGTGCTTTCCTCCATGTGTTTCCTATTCACTTCCAGCGCTTCTTTCTCATTTCTTCCTCCTCTGGGATCCGGTTTGTTCTCTCCCATAGTAGATTGGTTATGTTAGTGTCCGGCCAACGGATCCGAAGTATTTTGTGTAGGCAACTGTTAATAAACATTTTTATCTACTGGATGATGGCTTTCGTAGTTGTCCAAGTTTCCACCACATACAGTAGAACTGTGTTGATATTTGTATTGAAAATTCTGACGTTTGTGTTGGTCGACAGTTGTTTTGAGTTCTAGACGTTCTTCAATCGTAAATGTTCTGCTTTTGCTTTGTCTATCCGCACCTTCACATCTGCATCAGATCCACCGTGTTCACCAATGTTGCTACCCAAATGTGTAAAGGTTTTTACATCTGTAGCGTGGCGTCGAGTTGAGATTAACTATGAACACCGCTACCAAGAAACACGTGCCAAATAGATCAGAAGGCGTAAGAAGCTCGTTCCAAATGACTCCATAAAATCCCCGAGAAGCCGAATACCAGAAGGCAATTAATGGACCAAGTCGAGGTATATTTGCTGGCGATCTCGTGGCATCGAAAGGATACCGAGATCGTGCCAGGATACAACCTTGGTTACAGAAGGTAACCGAATTCGCGCGAAGTTACAATCGAAGTGTAAGTAAAGAATGGAAGCCAAAAAAAGCTGTCATTAGCACAGTCAAACAAAAGCACGTTAAAACAAACACTGGTACAGTTGGTTATAATAATAATTGTTTTTATTAAACCAGTCGTGTTCTCGTGATAAATGTGAGTCACTACAGGAGCCCCCCGCTAGAAAGGGTTTACACTTTCGATAAATAGCGGTTTGAATCGTGGGACTGATCGGCTGACGAGCGATTGTAGGACGGAAAGCGATCGTTGATCGTCGAGTTGCCAACGAAGGTCGTTTTCGGAGAACGGTACCAGGAGCGATGTGCTGTATTTGTTGCTTGAGTTGGCATGCTACACCAGAGTGGTTTGTATCCAGAATCTGAAGAGGGCGTTCGTAGGGTGCGGACCAGAAACGCTGCAGACGTAGGACGAAACCACGTTGAGCCGATGAACCAGAAGCGACCATAACGACCAAGTTCGAGACCAAGCGTATGCCAAGCATTCGAAACCAAATATCGACTGAGTACGTTGACAAGAGCGTGGGTGATCAGGCCAGCTTTCGCCAAAGTTGACTGAAGTCGACGGAACCAAACGGAGATGGTCGAAGGCGTGGGCTCAGGAAACAAAAAAAAATCAAAAAAGAGAAGAGTGTAGCATGCGTGTAGTATAGGAATAATCCTACACCGTATCGTTTGTTAACTGTGCGGCTAGTCGCGGAAGCGTACGGGTAACCGTACTCGGCGACCGGAACGTGAGACGGTAGTCTCGTTCGCGTCGCGTGAGCCTGCAATCTCATCCGAAGTCAAGGGCGGCGTGGTCTGCTGATCTGGACGTGAGACTGTCGTCTCGTCCGTAGACGGTGCAGATGACGCGTGCTGTTGACTGGGACGTGAGATGAGGTCTCAGATGTATCTAGCGTGGGACCTGAAGATGGTTTGAGGATCCCGCTAGTAGGTTTGCTAGGTCTAGCATTGAATCTCAGGTTATCAGATAGGGCACTGTCATCGACGTGTGCTGGTTTGAGACGATCAATGCTGACGATCTCGACGCGTCCATATCGATCAACCTTGAAGGTCTTTTCGTGACGAGCGATCACGTGAAAAGGGCCTTCGTAAGGTTGTTGCCAAGGTTTGCGTACCGAATCTACTCGTACAAAAACATGTGAACAGGTAGATAACTCTCGAGGGAGAGCGACCTGTCGATGTTGTATTCGAGTTGACACCGGAGACAGCGTTCGCATAAATGCAGACAGTCGATGGACGTAGTCTGATTTACCGAAATTAGGTCTGCTCCGTGGTGTGAAGAATTCTCCGGGCAGACGCAATGTCGTGCCGAATACCAGTTCAGCGGCGGAACATTGTATATCTGCCTTCAAGCTCGTTGTGATCCCTAAAAGAACGAGCGGTAAGGTTTCGTGCCAGTTGCCGTTTTCGTGTGCTCGTATAGCACTTTTAAGTTGGCAGTGAAACCGTTTACTTAACCATTTGGTGCTGGGTGGTAGACAGATATGCTTATGCGTATGCATTCCGTACCAAGCAGCCGGGTCAGCGAGGAGAATATAGCGTGGAATTCATCGTCACGCGAATAAAAAGTAACAAGGATTCGGTACACATACATGTGAGTCTATTATATTAATACTATTCTTATCGTTATCCGTCATGTCGAGTATATTATATATTAAAAAATATGAAAATATACGACAGACGTGGATAGATAAATCATAGACTCACCGAATTGGCTTCTTTGGAAGATTTGATCAGAAGTTGAGGCGTGTTCCAAAATTCGGGTCACCAATTGTAGCGTGGCGTCGAGTTGAGATTAACTATGAACACCGCTACCAAGAAACACGTGCCAAATAGATCAGAAGGCGTAAGAAGCTCGTTCCAAATGACTCCATAAAATCCCGAGAAGCCGAATACCAGAAGGCAATTAATGGACCAAGTCGAGTTATATTTGCTGGCGATCTCGTGGCATCGAAAGGATACCGAGATCGTGCCAGGATACAACCTTGGTTACAGAAGGTAACCGAATTCGCGCGAAGTTACAATCGAAGTGTAAGTAAAGAATGGAAGCCAAATAAAGCTGTCATTAGCACAGTCAAACAAAAGCACGTTAAAACAAACACTGGTACAGTTGGTTATAATAATAATTGTTTTTATTAAACCAGTCGTGTTCTCGTGATAAATGTGAGTCACTACACATCTTCCAAATCTTCTCCGTCAAGTGTGATTGGATTGGTGCATGCTGTGTTGTATCGGAGAATCTCGCTTTTCCCTTTGTGTATATTGAAACCTACTCCTGTTGAGGCTGTTGCTACACTGAACACCTAACTAATTACTTTAAACGTCTGAAATTAGTTGACCATTCATAATCTTTTAAAGTTATCTAATTGAAGAATTTAATAACTAACATGAAATATACTCCCAGTTTTTAACATTTTAGCCTTTAACAAATATACGAAACTTAGACAGATCATCTATTCTTAGCTTATTGGAATCTCATCCAGAAACTCAAGCATTTGCTAAAGATTTATCCGCAGTATTTAAAAATAATTTCAAGAATATTAACTCTAATCAACGATATACTGTAATAGTACCAAGTCAAAAGACATGGGAATTATTACGTCAAAAGTATTCAGGTGAACAACTACAAAAAGTAAGTTTTATTCTAGTTTACCTTAATGTATGTAACTCTTTAGAAGTATGTACAGAATGAAAACCCTGAGTTCGAATCCCGTGGGCGGGATCGTGGATGCCCACTGATAAAGAGTCCCACAAATGACGAAACGATCGTCCAGTGCTTCCAGGTTTTCAATGGTGGTCAAACATCAATCGGTTCATGATCTCAATCAATAACATAACGAAGTTTGGATTTAGAACTGATAATCACTATGATAATGTTATTGTTTGAATAAATTGATCAAATAATATGCAATAGTATCTTTTTAAATTTTGATATGAACTTGTGATAATGAACATTGTATTTAAATACACAACAAATCCCCAATTAACTAACTTGAGACAAATACTGATTAAGATCAGAAGGGGTTTTGTGGATATTATAGTAATTTCAATAGTTGAGATCATGAGTCATTTGAAGCTAGACTACCATGGGAAACCTAGAGGCACTAGATAGCTGTTTCGTTATACTACTCAGCGGTGTGCATCCACGACCCTGCCTCGAGAGATTCGAACCCAGGACCTATCAGTCTCGCGCGATTTCGTGGATTATTTGACGTTAGATATTAACACCGTTGGATGCCAGCCAGCTCAGTGGTCTAGTGGTTACTAATGACATAATTATTTTCTTTTTTCTCATCAAATAACTTTTTCTTAACTTTAGTCAATGTTTTGCAAAACATTTTTGTTACGTCCTTGATCTGTCTACCCACTTTTGGTGCTGATGATAACTTGTCTAATCTAGATTAAGACCATGACGCGATAGGCTAAACGGCTTAATCTTGAGGCTAGTACGCATGAGTTCAAAGTGGTGTAGAGAAACGAAAACTATTCTATCACCTGATTGACTGATAAGCACGCGAGTGAGAGAAAACAAGTCAACTGGAACACTACTCTATTTATCCTCAATTCCGATCTGGTTCCCGATTTCCCGATTTCAGATCAGTGTAAAAAGATACATGAATAAATAGATGACTAACACGACCACAACGTACAATAATCAGGACAATACAATTATTATCAGAAGGGGTTTGTGGAGATTTTAGAAATTTCACAGATTAAAATTATGAGTCAGTTGAAGCTGGACCATCATGGAAAACCTGGAATCACTGTATGGCCGTTTCATCCTAGTATGGGACTTAGCAGCAGCGCGCACCCACGATCCCGCACCCCGCGAGATTCGAACCCAGGGTCCATCAGTCTCGCTCCAAGCTCCCAACCAACTACACCACTGAGCAGGCATCCAGTGGTGTGAATGTCTAACTTCAACCAATCCACGAAGTTGCACTGTAGTGAAGAAGAACACGGTTGAGGACAACCAAATTGTATTTAGGACAAATTACAGAATTACTTGGTAAAATAGAAAAACCATATAGTAAATCGTTAATTTGCAAAATATCATTCTATCATATCTAATGTCTCGCATTTCATTGTTCATGCGATTTCTTACAAATTCCATTGTTTTCTCGCTCTTCTTTTCTTGATCTTCTCCATCTTCTGCTGCCAGACATTACGTTCTTTTGACTCACGTTATATACTACTTATATCAATATAAGTAGCACGCACCACAGCGCCACCATATTCCTCTGTCTTCAGTGAGCTGATATCTCACAACAGACCTGGTTGAACTCCACTGGTAATGGCTTCTCACTAGAACTCCAGGCCGTCTAGTACTTCCACGTTTTCCATGATGTTCTAGCTTCAACTGACCCATGATTTCAATCTGTGAAATACAATTATGTCCAAAACTGGGAATTAGCGTAGAAAAATAGAGTACAAAATATTATGTTTAAATTACAATGGCTTTAGAACAAAAAGAGCTATGACAGTGAATCATACATTAAACGAAAGCTTATGATCTGTAGAATAGACTAAGGACAAAAAAGAATGTTACTGTCTTACAAGCTTTGAATTAACTGAAATAACGTCCAGAAAAATAGCTTCCATATCAAGTCATTGCTTCTTATTTCTCTGTTCACATCAATTCTCCCTTCTTTTTGTCTTAACAGATTGCAGCTAATCATGTTATATCAAATCAATATTGTTCAGGACATTTAATTCATTCATTAGAAAGTTATCAATCATTATTAGGTGAAAAACTTGAATTTATTTGTGAAACAGATTCAACTGGTAAAGAGAAACATTATGTTCGTACAATATTTGGTAACAAACATGAAATAACAATAACTGATTTAACAGCTACAAATGGTGTAGCACATATTATAGAAGATACATTAATTCCACATTCTGGTAAGAAATTTTATTGAAATTAAAGAAGAAAAAAACATTTTACATAACTGATTTATCAGAAGAGGATGGAACTACTACTACGCAGTGCACATCCACAATCCCATCCTGCGAGAATCGAATTCAGAACCTAACGCTCTTGCGCGCAAACGCTTAACTTCTAGACCACTGAGTTGGCCGGCATTCAACAGTGTTAATGTCTAACTTCGACTAATCCATAAAGTTGCCCCACAGTTAAGCGTTTGCGCTCGAGATCTAAGGTTCTGGGTCTGAATCCCGCAAGCGGGATCGTAGATGCACACTGCTGAGAGGTCTCACAATAGGATGAAACAGCTGTCCAATGCTTTCAGATTTTCCACAGTGGTCTCATGAATCCAACTATTAAAAGAGCTTTTATTTCGTAAACCTAACTAACATTCACGAAGAGAAAAATCTCAAGTTAATCAGTCATGTTTAACTAATTAAACAAGATTCATATATATATATATATATATATATATATATATATGTCCGACACATGTTCAACCATATGAACAATGAGGAAAATTGTGTTAATTATTCGCTTATCAACTATGACTGTTTTTATATAAGCGTGTGTGTGTACATCTTATCCTACTTACCACATGTCTTGTAGCGTATTTTTGTGCGACTATAAATATTGATTAACGCATAACTAAACGGAGTAGGCTTATCCGCCATCTCCACTGCGTGTCGTTTCGATTCGTTCTGCTGATTATCTGCCCAGACCAATGACTGTATTAAATATACATATTCGAAATCCATTCTCGTATTTGACTTATTTAATTCTGTTATATCACTAACGCAATCTAAGTCGATAATTGTACACGACGATTATTGGCAACATGTATATTTCAACAGCAAACAGGAACGATCTTACTGGAGTCAAAGCTCGGACTACTAAAGTGATGAGCCCGTCAACAACATCGTTCGATCTAAAAATTGACAAAATATCAGGTCACAAAAAAAGAATTTGACAATTTATCCAGTGGAAAATTGTTAGAACTGTTTACAGTTGCTATGGTAGTCTTTTTGTTCTCTAATTCATCGTGGAATCAGTATATTCTTTAACCACAGTTCATTATCATTAATCCTATTAGCTCTCTTTTGTTTTAGCTAAAGTTGTAAGCATGATCTCATTTATTTGCAGTTTATAACATATAAACAATACTATTAATATATATTTATTGTTTATTTGAATCTTCTCATTGTTATTTACAACTGGGTTTGATCAGACTCTTTTGGGATATGTCTATACTGTTTAGATTGCCTCGATATTGCCATTAAGTTATAAGCATTTTACATAGAGATGAATAGGGGCTAGCAGTGGAATTTAAGAGGCGCATTTCGTTCTGTTTTGAACTTATCATCTGGATATACTTGTAACCAAGTTGATTTTCACCTCGGGACTCGAACCCAGTACTATCCACTCCAAACTCTATCGCGTCAGCCACTTAGCTATTGAATCCAGATATTCACTAACTTCTACAATGGAGTGAATTTTAATTCATGTATATTGGTTTGTTTGAATTTTATGATTGATGTTTAGGACTGCAGCTAATACTTTTAATATTTTTCTTCTCACTTTTCAAGAAATATTTGATATTGCATTAATCGAGCTCCAATCCACCTAGGAGATACTATTACCTTCTCCCTTCTAGATACCAACTACAGCCTGGTGACAAATGGTAACTAACATAAAATGCAAATCGATTAGTTACTATTAATAAATATGGCATCAAGCTAAACAACAAGTATTATTCAATAACTCGTATCCCTTGAGTTTAGTTTATCACAGAAACAAGTTCCTGCTATCAAGCAAAAAAAGATAGAAAGATATGACATTGTTTTGACATAGCAACTTCTAATACTGTTATTACTTAAGAAATGTATTTGAACGGTGAGGTTGTAGCAGCTGGCCCTATGTCAAGGCCATATAGGTTATTCTAGCTTCTGGACAGACTAATCTATTCATTCTTCTTAAATCACATTATTTACTTCGCCTCAGTTCACCTTTGCCTTGTCTTGCTTCGATTTGACCATAAATATCGATTCACGCTTGTTTAAACCGAGTTGGCTAACATTCCTTCTCCAATTTGTTTCTTTTCGCTTCCTTCACACCATCTCTCTGATTTTCTGTTCTGATCAGCGACTGTACCAAATATATGTATTCAAAACTTCATTCTTGTATTTAACTTATCAAATTCCACTATTCACCAACTCAATTTAAGTTGATTATTATATACAAGAATTGATGATTTGTTCAAGTCGATAATGATAATCACGTGATCAAATTAGAGTCAGATATTTGAGAGCTATTAGAAGGTTATTTAAGTACAGATTTTACATTTAATATCTTCCATATACTTGACATATAATTTCTGTCCAAAGTGGAAATCATTTACTTAACTTTGCAATTTAAATATGTACTATCAATTAAAATGGAATACCTGGAAGCACTGAACGGCCGTTTCGTCCTGTTGTGGGAATCCTCAGCAGCGCGCATCCACGACTTCTCCCCCTACGAGATTCGAACTCAGGACCTATCAGTCTTGTGTGCGGGCGCTTAACCATTAGACCACTGAGCTGGCCGGCATCCGACGGTGTTAATGTCTAACTTCAACTAATCCACGAAATGGAGCGACAAATCCATCATGGTGGTCTAGCTTCAACTGACTCATGATCTTAACCATTGAAATTACTATAATATCCACATAACCTATCTGATATTAAAATGGAATAATTCAATGAATTTATGCTTTATATCATATTTCTTTGCCATAGTTATAACATTCAAAGAATTCATTCAGAATAAACAATATGGTGAAAAGTTGAAAGCTACTGAATTTCTAAATCTTCTTAATGAATGTGATATAAAAATGGAACCAGGAGAGAAATATGCTATAGTTTTACCTCAAGATAGTTCAATGAAATGTAAGTATTATTTTAATTCATAAATGGGTAAACTATAATTGATGGATGAACCAATCAGATTTAAGATAACAGGTTTTAAATTTTGGCGCCAAATCTATTAACTCATTTAACTGAATACCTTTTTTAATATTATAGCTAATGTCAGTACGTGATGAAAACGTCAAATCTAATTCTTAATCGTAATGTTCAACTGTAAATCATAATCCTAATTTCTCATACTAAACCATAATCTTCATGTTACTTCGGTGAGTAGGTGGACATCCGACCGTTATTTTAGCGCTGCACAGAGATCGTCCATAAAATAATGGTATCACCATTTAATCCTCTAAGAAATATTATGTTTGACAAGCTTAAGAATTTTATCTAAACAACTCATACAATTCAGAATAAGTGTACTTAATTACTAAACAGATTGTTTTAATGTTCAACTATGATCTTACAAAATCTCATTTTGATTTCTGTTATTACTTACTTACGTCTGTTACTCCTTGTGAAGGAGCACAGGCCATCTACTAGCACTCTTCATCCAATCCTGTCCTGGACAATCCTTTCTAGCTCTTTCCAGTTGTTATTCATCTTTTTCATTATCTGCTTCCGATTCTCAACGTAATGTGTTCTCTGGCCTACCTCTTTTCCGTTCCTTTAAGAATTCCAAGTTACCCCTTGCCTCATGATGCAGTTTGGTGATTTCTGTAACTTATGTCCTATCTATTTCCATCGTCTTTTTCAAAATTTCCTCTTCAACTAAAAGCTGGTTTGTCCTCTGCCATAGTAAACTGTTGCTGATGGTATCCAGCCAATGAATGTATAGAGTATATATAATGATTATTCAATGTATTATTCAATCATATCACTTATCCGAGAATAATTCATTATCTCGCAGGTGGAAAACACGAAATTATCAACTATTGCGTCCACTGTCAAGTGACGTATCCCCTTGTTAACATACTTTTCATTATATAACACAATCTTATAATAATAATAATAATAATAATAATATTGTAACCAATCTACTAAATAGGGTGGTCAACTTATCCACAATTTCAAGAACAATATAGACGTTTTCAAGTTGATAAAGAATATCGTTGTCATGTGGCACGTTATCATATTATGAAAAGTAATGATCGTTTAAATAATATTGGTAACTTCGCTAGTCATACACAAGGTCATCGTACACTTAATCCAAATGAACCATTATATGAAACAACTTATTTTAAAAAATCTCCATATGGATCACAGGTAAGTTAATTAAACATGTCATTTGACTATTATATTATTTCAATAGTTGAAATCATGAGTCAGTTAAAATTAGACCACCATAGAAAACCTAAAAGCACTGGACGGCCGTTTCGTCCTATTGTGGGACTCCTCAACAGTACGCATCCACGATCCCGTCATGCGGGATCCGAACAGAGAGCCTTTAGTCTCGCGCTCGAACGCTTAACCTACTTGACCACAGAGCTGGCCGGCATCCAACAGTTTTAATGTCTAATTCCAACCAATCCACGAAATTGCGCGACCATTTTCCATTGTCTGAGGTAGACACCTGTCTCTACCCTGACACGGAATAACTCAATGGTGGTCCAACATCAATCGGTTCAAGATCTCAATCAATAACTCAATAATCTTCACAAACCTATACTGATAAATCTTTTATAATTTTTATACAATTTATTATCTTGATTGAAATCATGAATGGATCAATGTTAGACCATCATTAAAAACCTGAAAGCATTGGATGACGATCTCATCCTAGTATGCGACTCCTCAACAGTCATTCAATACTTTCAGATTATCAACAATGGTCTAATATTGATTCGTTCATGAGCTCTGTCTCCACAACCCTATACTAATAATTTATGATTATTAAAAAGTAATCTCAATGAGTTGATTTATAAGTGACCGATTTTTTGAAGTTTTAAAACGTCACTTCTCTACTGACAAATAACACTATAGAACAGTAGACATTGTTTTGTGAAATATCCTACAGTTAATAACTTGATCAACTCCTTCACACTGTCCAATTTGATTTATTTATGATGGATAAAGGTATAAGTTTGAGATTTTAAAATATTTCAATGAAAATATAGTGTGTTTTATCTCATAAATAATCATTATGAAAAATCCTAATAGACTATGTTAAGTTTAACAGAGCCGAATAAGATAAGGGTTGAACACTTTGATCTGAATAAAAGTTAACTATAGTTTGGGATCATGAATCAATTGATGTTAGATCATCATTGAAACAGGTATCTACCTCAGACAATAGATGAATGGTTGTGCAGCTATTCATGGATCGATGGATGTTAGACATTAACACTGTTAGATGCTAGCCAGCTCAGTGATTTAGAGGTTAAGTGTTCGCGTGCGAGACCTGAGGTCCTCGGTTTGAATCCCGCATGGTGGGATCGTGGATGAGTATAGCTGAGGAGTGCTTTACTAAGACGAAATGACCGACTAGTGCTTCCAGGTTTTCAATACATGAACTCAATCAAAAACTTAACAATCACCATAACCCCATACAGTTAATTATTATGTTTAGTATTTATGTACTTTTTTCGTATGTACAGTTCATGATTTAGACTTAAAGAAAGAGTGACATTATTATGAATCAAAAATGAATATGTCTAATCATTATCCATTTATGTAAATTTGAGAATAAATCTTAACTCAATTCATTATATTCTTATCATGAATGTAATAGATAAAAGAACAGGTTTTAATAACACTTAACTATGTTTCATCCATTTCGTTTAAATGGTTTTTATGGCATTTGGTATTTCTTAATTATGAAACTGAATGATAAAAAAGACAGACACTTAGTTGATACGGTTGTCGTATGTGTTACTGTTGGCGATAGATATAAGTAGTATGTATCAGCAATCAAAAGTGAAATGCCTAGAGTCAGATGGTTCAGAAGATCGAAGAGAAGAGAATGTGAACAGAGAATAATTGGTGTGTAAACGAAGAAATAATCAAGTCATTGATTGACATTTTGTAAATGAAGTATTTACTGTTTGGTTGTTCGGTTGTCCCCACTAATGTGTTCTCGTTCACGACATAGTGACAACGTCAAATGAAAAATAGATGTAATTGAATAAAGTTCAGTACTTTAGCATAATCCACTTAATATTCTTGTAAGTACTATACAACTAAATAACTTGATGTTAAATATATTTTTGTTACTTCCCAATGAGTAAGAAAATTACATTTCTGATGTTTCGTGATTTAATGTAGATCACTTCTTCAGAACAAAAATAAATGTCGATATTTATTATGAACTATTTACCCAATGTTCAATTTATTTAAAGCTACTAAGTTCAACCTTGATATTGATACCTGTAAATAACTTGAGGTGTTATCAGATATGACTTATAATAGAATTGTCAGGTAACCTGCCATAAGTTTCGACAGTGTTCTTTACAAAGTATAAGGTACTTGTACTAACTGTCAATGATAAATAGTGGTTGTTTTATCTCAAAATGTACGGGACTTTTTTATCATGAGTTGGTGGAGAATATTTGTAGCTCAGGTCGATGATTTTGATGAAGTTTCGTTCTCTGAGCTGGATGTAGACTTCTACATGAAGTTTATACTAATGATGCCGTTCAGAAGAACAATGAAAGCTCCACGACCAAACCATCCAGCTCAGAGAACAAAACTCCATCAAAATCCACCATCTTAAATCAGTCAGTGATGTAAACTATGGAAAACAGATGTGTCAATAAGTGTTCAAATAATTCAGTTACATCACTGGCTGATATTAGTTAGAAAATTATTTAGATCCAAGAGGTTCTATATAGCTGGTTCGTTCTAGCATAGAATTCCCAAACAATAAATTCACTACTATTGAATCCCTATTGAAGTTGTAAAAATTACTGTTCTAATAATGTATTAAACAATCAGTATTTTGTAAGCGAATACCGTAATATTTCCCGATAGCATAAGCTCACATACTCACTTTACTTACGCCTGTTAGTCCCGTTGGAGCATAGGCCTCCGACCATCATTCTCCAACACTTTCTGTCCTGAGCCTACATTTCTAGTCCTATCTTACTGTTGTTCATTCTTATCATGTCTGTCTCCATTTCACAACTTAATATGTTCTTTGATCTTCCACTTCTCCTTTGGCCTTGAGGACATGTCTTGTGACACAGTTGGATGCTTCCCTCAATGTGTGTCCTATCCACTTCCAATGCTTCTTCCTGATTTCTTCCTCCACTGGAATCTGGTTTGTTCTCTCCCATAGTAGGTTGGTTATGATAGTGTTTGGCCAACAGATCCGAAGTAATTTGTATAGAAAAGTGTTAATAAACATTTGTATCTTCTGGATGATGGCTTTCGTAGTTGTCCAAGTTTTCACCACATACAGTAGAACTGTGTTGACATTTATATTGAAAATTCTGACGTTTGTGTTAGTTGACAGTTGTTTTGAGTTTCAGATGTTCTTCATTTGTAAATATTGTGCTTTTGCTTTGTCGATCCTCACCTTTACATGTGCATCAGATCCACCGTGTTCATCAATGATGCTGCCCAAATGTGTAAAGGTTTTTACATCTTCCAAAGCATAAGCTGTCGTTGTCTTTAAAATCTGACCTCAAAGTATTTCAAAATATAAAATCCACTTATAATCTCTAAACTTGATCTTAGGTCACTTGAATTCAACTTTGTGGTGTGCTTCTCGTTCAGGAAGTCATTACTGTAATAGGTTATGAATTCAATCAAACTATCAGTCTATTAAACTTCGTTCACATGGAGATAAACGCCGAACTATTTCAAGAACCAAATAATTTATCGACAGTCGATTTATTTCACTCGATATATATACAAATTATACTCATTAGAAAGTTTCAGAATAGATATTATCGAAGAAATAAGGATGATAATAGGTTGATTACTGACAAGCATATTTATTTATTTAAACACATAAACCTTAGTACAAGAAGGCACCAAATAGATATGTGCCACACAAATCATTTGATTTGTGTGAGGGCTAGGATACTCTCCGGCTGCCCGAACCGAAGTAGGTGATTTTCTAAGGGAGCCACATCCAGAGTCTTTGACCTAAAGGTCTAATTCACATGACAGTGGATAAACGTAAGGAGATGCAGTTCCATTGTAGCCGGTGACCAACAATAGGTTTATACACCATTTTTTTACTCAGGATCCTAGAGCCCATGTGCATCCTTGGTTTGAAATCAGGGTTTTCCAACTCCCCTAGGTGGACTCTCTATATCCACCTACCCGGTTAAAGCGCCGGACATTCGCTTTGCGCCCTCTCAATTTCGTAAATAACACCCGTGGCACAAGAAAGCAGTGAGTAGGACTTCCCTATCAGTGGTTGTGTGCACATGGCCATGTGAGAGCATTCGGAGAGGGAGAGCTGACTCTTCCCACTCTCGGCCGTACCAAGGCGTTTGTTGCCACTGACAAGCTAAATAACATTCTCAACTACTATCTAGTTATGATTATGAAACACGAGCAGCAAATAAATGGCTATTTAAAAGAAATGAATTAATAATAAAATTCATTCTTTTTAGACTCAGTTATTATTTCTATCATCTGAGTTGTTCATAAACTTTGATACAAACTAGATCACTTTTTATTTTGTTCTTATTTTCAAGTTGAATTTTCATTATTCTCCAATCAATAATCTTGAATCCATCGAGTTAGATGATGTAACTCTCTATGTTACTCCAAGAATTAATGTTCCACCGGACTTAAATATGACCGATATTTTAAAAAATCGACCTGATACTACGTAAGTTGATGAAAAAAAAAACCTCAGTTTATTCTGTACTCTGACAAAATTTAGACCTGATAGTTAACTTGTAAAGTTTTAAGCTGTTGAATAACCCATAAAATTTATATCTTTGAATTATTTATATTTTAAGTAATATTTCATCATTTACACTTTTGTTTTAATTATCCCAAGTTTAAGTTTGCCCTACTTTTGCATAAAATAATTTACTTTATTAAACAGTTCTCTATTTCATGCAAAGAACTTAGCATAAATACTTTGTTTGAGGACGGACCACCGGTGAACTAGAGGAAGCTCTAATAACTTCATAAAGAGCCGAAGATATTCCATCTAATTGTCTATTGGAAGAACATTCTAGTATAGCTACGTGTAGCTTCCCTATTGGACAAATGCTATAAATATCTGACAGTTTTTTTTTACCATAAGTGACACTGTTTTGGAATAGCATTCCTTTCACTTGTTTTCTGTCTTTTCATCTGCGACTTTAGAGGGTTCTAGCGTTTGAGTGCTCAAGTTGTACGCAGCATATTAAGAATCTAAGTTCTAGATATAATACTTTGAGTTACATGGATGATCGTCACGTGTTCACATCATTCACGTCAAGTCGGGTGATCAGTTGCACTGTATATAACAAACCGACTAGAATTTCACTGAATTATTTCACAATAATTTAAACTCCTTAATTAGAAATCTATCATTAAAACTACAATTCCAGATGTAATACAAATATCAGAAACGGTTTTTGTGGGTATTATAGTAATTTCAGTAGTTGAGATCATGAGTCAGTTGAAGCTAGACCACCATGGAAAACCTGGAAGCACTGGACAGCCGTTTCGTCCCATTGTGGGACTCCTCGGCACACAGTTTAGTTGTTGTTTGACAGATATTCTCGAATATACACCTGTCAATGTCTAAACATAATGCCGCATTATTTAACTGGTTGGGATGAATGATTTTGAAAAATACTTACTTTACGTCAAGAAGCAAAGGCTTTACAACTGGAGTTTACTTAAGTATTTCATTAAGATAACTTCGATTTAAATCTAATTTTTAACACAACTTGAAATCATCTGGTGAACACCTTTGGTATAAAGAGGATTAGAACCACAGCTTATCATCCGGCTGCTAACGTAATGGTAGAAAGGTTTCAATGATAGTTAAAAGCCTCATTGACAGCCACAAATGGGATGTCAAACTTCCTTCGATACTATTAGGCATTCGCTCAACTATCAAACAAGACATCGGTTTTTGTGTTGCTGAGTTGGTCTATGGAACAACGTTACGTTTGCCTGGTGAATTTTTTGACCTTGCAATAGATATTCCAGTAGACATAACCAACTACGTACAACAATTAAAACAGCAGATAGAATCCTTTCGGTTCGTCGAACCACGAATCCGGCAAGCAAGATCATTAGTAACCATTGAATTCGATAAATACTCTCATGTGTCTAAGGACAAAATATTGTTTCAAGACTGGTCTGGATCAACACCAGAACTTATGATAGGAAGTCAGCTAATTGAGAGTCCCAGCTATTTTAATTATTGTGGAATTTTCGTCACCACTAGTTGGTTAGTGTCTGACCAAATTTCTGCACGAATCCACAGAGATCGGTTTGCTTGTGTCATCTTGTAATGTTTGAGGAATAGGCAAGATATTCATTTTGCAACCAAAAGACAAATATGCAACTCAGAAATCAGCTCTGTCATTCTATATGGGTGTGGAACGTGATTTTTAAAAATTAAGGGTATTTGTACGTTATTAGTATTATATCCTAGATCTTCTCTAACGATTGCTCGTATATTTTTGGACCATCAGGTTCGCAACTTTGAAGTTACACCTAGTGTACAAGATAATCATGGCAAATCAATTTATGAGACAGTTAATCTTTGTCAAGTTAAATGGTCGGGAGATATATTGTGAATGCACATCCACCTCCTACTTCAACGCGCGATGACGGCTGATTTAGGAGTAGGCTGGAAGAAAGCTAGGGTCGATCAAATCAAGACATGGCATCAGTGTTTCAATATAATGACTTCTGGAGTAAACCATGTATATAGGTTCAGACTAATTAGTGAAGATTCACATGACTATCGTCACCAATGATGAGAGACTTTGAATGATATGGTTTGAAGTTGTTCCTAATGGCATAGGTGCATTCACTCCTTATCTTACATTTCATCCTAGGTTTTGAAATTCCCTGACGAAATTTTGTTTCCACTAATTCATATTCCAAGTTCTGCACTAAGTATGAATGACCGACCAACCATTCCTTGTATGACCATGATTGTACCAAAATGAGAACTTTCTGTTTTTTTATTTAAATTACTTCATCTGCCTTCAATTCATGATAAATGCTGCCTTCATCCACAGTTGAAACCCATTTAATATATATTTCTCTTGTTTTAGAATTGCTAAAAATCAAACGGAAAAAGCTAAAATGGACGAAAAATATTTCCAAAAAATGCGCCAAAAAATCTATATCTTGTCACAACAGATAATGGTTGGAAGGATCCACGAGCTACACCAACTACAATTAATCCATATAAACCTGAATTAAATATATACACAGATAAAAATTTAGAAAATGTAAGTTAATGTTGTTTATAGTACAGTATATTTATGGTATAAGGATCTGTGAAGGCTGTATCTTAGTATTTGAATTCACGAGTCAAACTAAGTTAGAGACCATCGTTGAGAACCTGGAAGAACTGGATGTCTGTTTCATCTTAGTGTGGAACTACTCAGCAGTGCGCATCCAGTTTTTCCGGGTTCTCAACGGTGGTCTAGTTTAAATCGACTCATGAATTTAACTATTATTACTATGTATATTGGGATAATAATTCTGTATTCTAAGATATTATTACGCCTGATTAAGCATTTTGCCATCATCATATCGTAGGTTATCATCATTTTTATAGAGAAAGCTCAATAAAGGCAATTTGTCAGTTACATGTCTTCAAATAGGATGCCGGTTACTTTTTCATCACTGGATCCTCTTCAATATCAACTTGGTGACAACTATAAATTAAATTAAATCTTGTAATTGTTGTGGCGATCCAAAAAACTCCTCGAAACAAAGCCAAGATACTGAGAAGGATCTTATTCAATTAGCCTTCATTAGAAGTTTTGCTAGAAACATCAAGAAAGTAAAAAGTCACATGTAGAGTTTCTGATTGGATGATGACTATACTGTTACTGTGTTTAGTGGCATTCTAGAATTTTCGGGAAACCCATGGACATCTAAAGTACTATAAAAACCCTATATTTTCTGTGCAGAAATTAACTTTTGGAGTAAAATGTTCTCACGTATTTCGGGCCTTTTCTCTCCTGTTCAAGTCGCTGTGTAGATTCAGCTTGGGGGTTACTATAAGATCTTGGGAATCGAATGTAGCGTTCAATTAGCAAAACTTATCAATAATCATTATCAGAACATTATTATTATATAAAAACTATCTGAAACTTAAAGAAGCATCACTATGTTGAAATTGACTCATGCTGTTTCTAGATAAACACGTTGGATACATTATAAATATGGGATAATTGTGAAATTCAATAAGTTCAATTCACCTTATTTAGGACTCAATATTTGAATATACCTTTATCTTAGTTTTGACTTTGTTCACCAAAACTTGAATCGGCGAGACTATAATTTATGGACGAACCAATCAGATTTATGATAGCAAGTATTAGATTTGGGCGCGAAATTCATTCACCCATTTAACTAAATAGAGTCTTGGCATTATAGTTGATGTCAGTTTGTGATGAAAACCCTAAATCTAATTCCTGACCCTAACCACCAACTGTAAATCATAATCCTTATGTTTCAAACTGCCTTAGAACCCTCATTTAACCCTAGTAAATAGGTAGACACTATCAAAGTCACATAAGGGTCACTCAAAGGTCGTCCATAAATTATAGTCTCACCCTTGAATCTGTTACCCAACAAGTTAAACATCTAGCATGATCCACTACACTACTAAGTTATGATTATCAGTAGGAACGATATAACCTTTCAGATGTAGGAGTTTGCATATACACTGAAAAGTGAACATAATCAATTATCTTCAAAACCTGTTTCATTGAACCTTGCATTCATACGTTAATATTTTCATTGGTAGTTAGTAAAGCAACCTCCTGAACAAATAAGTATTTGTCGCATTATGTAAAATATTCAGATGTTTAAAGTGAATGATCGGGAGTATGGTAATGAAACATATCTTATGCACTGGGTTTCATTACTAGTTACTAGTCAAAATATTTCATAATTTTTGAATGTATATATTACTAAAGGAAACGACATATCTTCGGATATTTCTATCTTAACGTGGTGGTTGAGCTTGTCTATCGTGATGAACCAATCGAGCTATACTGGCTGGAACAATCGTTCCTCAAGGTCCTACCATGTCAGACAGGTCGGTTAAAGAGAGGTAAGACTAAAAGCAACCAACCAAAGGTCCTAAGGCGAAGTCGTACTGCCGACTGTATAAAGGTGTGATAGTAGCAAGGTGTTTCCTTCAGATAGCCAGCAAGACAGCAATGCTGCCTTCCCACAAGGAGGGGTGTGGTTAGAAAAGGTTGAACCCGAAAATGCACACCTCGCCTTATCCGACGGTTTACCGTCTCCGTGGTAAGGTTCCACGAAAGTCACTTACAAGAAGATCGTGTGTGACCGACTCCAAGCAACTGTCCCTTCGACACTGTGGACACGCTCTCAGGTCACTAAGACCACTCGTAGCCCAATTTCTTTTTCAGGTACCTACGGAAGAACCCCTTCACAGTGTGGGCAACTGGGAAATGATAACTTCCCTCATACCTTTAACAACACTCAAGATTACTGACTGATCAGTTTTTAAAGAAAAGCAGTTAAATATTAAATTTTCCAAGTCAGATTAGAATATTTTACTATTCTTCAGTACAAATTTAATCATACTCTTACTTTTTTAAAAAAACAACATATTCTCAGTACTTGTTACTGAACCATATACCGTTATATTTATGGGGAGGAGATATTGGCTATTTCGAGAAGAACACAATACATAAATTCATGTCTTCTGTTGGTGTAGAATTATTCTTCTGGATGGATAATAATGGAATAATGCGAATTGGATATGATGGTCTACCACGTGATCAATGGGTAGGTTTTCGCTCTCTCTCTCTCTCTTGAAAAGCTATTTTTATCACATAGATATGAGTATAAAATCATGTACTATATGAGAGATTTTATGTACCCTTTCAGAATACGCATACAAACATACTTTTATATGGGTTAATTTACAAAATAAAAGTGAATATTGCAAAAGATAGATAGCTGCTAGCAGTGAAATCCAGGACTCGTGTTTCGTTTTACTCGGGACTCATCAGCTGGATGTTCCTGCATCCCACAGTTGATGTTCACTATGGTACTCAAACTCAGTACCATTCGAGTTATCCACTTAGGTACTGAGTCCTGATAGCCATTTGCTTGTGTAATGGAGTGAAGTTTAAATTCACTTGGTATTGTTTACTTGAACAATCTTGAATCAACTCTGAGATGCAGGTACATCCAGCTGACGAGCCTCAAATGGGACGAAACGATTGTTTTAGATTCCACTTCTAGCCACTATCCATCTCTCCATAGAATGCTTGTGAATCAAGGCAATGCACATATGCCAATAAGAGACTGATCGATTGCAGTCCTAAACATCAATGGGAAGATTCAAGTAAACAAGTAAACCAAATGAATCTAAATAAATATTGGTTATGATAAGTTTAGGAACTTTGAATCATTTTTTGTTTTTTTTGTAAATTGTATTTAAAACTAAATCAAAGTTTGTATACAGGATCATTCATAGGCCTGTATACCCTGCATTAATATCCTTTTAAATGTTTATTTGATTATCGCCAATTTCTTCCAGTGCTATTTAGTATAACTTATAGAATCTAGATTATAAAGCGCCTATGGTTCACAACTACTAGTAATTACGGCTTCGATGGTTATTCGTATTCTAACAATTAAATAGAACATCTATGATATCTGGATTACTGTTGATTAAGATTATATTTAAAAAAAAGACATTCCTGAGAAAAGGTTTAATAGTTGAGATCATGGGTCAATTGAAGCTAGACTACCATGGAAAACGGTGGAAGCACTGGACGGTCGTTTCGTCCTATTGTGGAACTCCTCAACAGTGCGCATCCACGATCCCGCCTCGCAGGATTGTAAATAAATATAATAGGAAAGAGAAGATTCTGGATCATCAGACGTAGTGACTTGAAATCATCGTGATAACCTAATTAACTGATCGTATAATAAAGTAGTTGAGCATAAATTGAGTTGAGATCAGCCAGTCAAAAAAATGAAGTTATAAATTTCAATGAAGTCATGCAACTAAAATAATAGAGACAGAGAGAGAAAATCGTAAGAACGATGTGGTAGACTAACGATAAATTCACCATTGAGGACACCAATCTTGCTTGAGGCGTTTGATGGTTATACCCTCGACGAATTTAAGAAGAATAGATTTCCACTGTCGATTGCTGATGCTAAAAGATTCAATGTTCATCTGGCAGAATATATTTTGTTTAACCACTGAAATAAAAGCTTGGAAAGATTGAAGTCTGTTAAAAGATCGAAAAAATATGGATCAATGGTATTCAATTTAAGGATTATAGTATCATTTTCTCAACAAAAGACATAAATGTCGTGATCTGGATCCTGTATTTAAAATACAGTGCACAAAATTTTCATTATTTTTTTAATCAATAATATAAATAGCCAATATATTCAACTATTGATATACTTCAATCTACTGAATACATAAAATCTCCTTTCGTGCGCGTGACCGAAGATCCTGAGTTCAAATCCCAAGTTCAGGATCGTGGGTGTGTACTGCTGAGGAGTCCCATTCTAGGACGAAATGGTCATCCAGTGCTTACAGTTTTTTCTATAGTGGTTTAGCTTTAATGGACTCATGAATTCAACTATTACAATTACTACAATCTCCATAAAAACCCCCTTCTGATATAATATGTATGTTATGTTTTGATAGAATTAAAAACGTACATCAGTGTATTTTATTTCAATTGTAAACCTTTTTACTTTTTCAAAAATTTAACATACACAATTTTTTGGTTGAGATCATGAATCGAATAATGTTAGATCACTAGTGAAAACCTGGAAGCACTGGACCACCGTTTCGTCTTAGTATGGAACTTCTCAGTAGTGCGCATCCATGGTCCCGCACCATGGGATTCGAACCCAAGACCTCCGGTCTCTCATGCGAACATCTAACCTCTAGACCATTGGTCTGGCCGGCATCCAACGGTGTTAATGTCTAACTTTAACCAGTCTACTAAATTTCACCACAGTTAAGCGTTCGCACGCGAAACTGAAGGTCCCGGGTTCAGATCTCGCCAGTGAGAAGTTCCATTCTTGAACGAAACGGTCATCCAGTGCCTCTAGATTCTTTATAGAAGTCTAGCTTTAATCGAATCATGAATTCAACCATCACAATTACTACAATCTTCACGACCCTCCCCTTCTGATATAATATGTATGTATTTTTTTGATAAAATTAAAAATGTACATCAGTTGTAAACCCGTTTTTTTCTCTGTTCAAAATTTAATATAAACAGTTTTTTTTTCTTCGTCAATATCTAGTGCACAATCATAATACAATAGTGTTCGTACGTTCAAACAAATCTATTAAACATTGAACATTGTTCAATTGAATCATTCACATTAGATGATAATGTGAATTAGAATGAATAACAACAATATGATATTGATGTCATTAAATATGACTATTCATATTCACATTCTATTTAATATTTATTATTAATTTATTAAATAATTTCTATAAATTAGATCAAATCAAATCAAGTATTTTATAAACAAAGATGGATAGTGGAATCCAGGACGCGTGTTTCATCCTACTTGAGACTCGTCAGCTGAATATACCTGCATATCAGATTTGCTGTTCACTCTGGACTCGAATATTGTACCGTTCGCTTCAAACGTCATTGCGGTATTCAGTTAGTTAGTGAAGCTAACGGTACTGAGTTTGAGTCCTAGAGTGAACATCAACTCTGAGATGTAGGTATATTCAGCTGACGAGTCTTAAATAGGATAAAACACTCGTCCAACACTCTACTACTAGCCACTATCCGTCTTTGATTCATAAAGCTTTGTGAATTAAGGTCCAGCACAGGATGTACATATGCCAATTAGAGACTGATCAATTGCAGTCCTAAATAACAATGGGAAGACTCAAGTAAAGCAACACCGAGTGAATTTAATATTATTTTATACTTTTAGAAAATAATTTTTGATATAACGCTCTGTTTTCCACGTCTACAGCGAATGGGACATAATTTACCATAGACGAATGTCTACACTAGATACCCTCCTAATGTCTATTCTACAGGACTTCAACACAACTCAGATCAAGAACACGTGACTAGCCTGATTAAAAGGTTAGAATACTTTCCATGACAAAAACTAAGAACAAACACAATGGTAATAAAGGCAGGAGAATATATAGCTCATCTAATATCTGTCAGACTATCAACAAGTCTGACTAAGCAAGCAACCAATCATTATCATTCGCGCCCACACATCAATTTTAACTCAAGAACTTCTGTGACTAACTGATATAACGTAAATTAATAAGATCTTCCTACTGGAACACTAGATACAAGACAGTACGATACTCGATAGTACATTTAGCTACTTAAGCGAACAGTACAGGTTTCGAGTCCCAGTGGTTAAACGCTCGTGCGCGAGACTGATAGATCCTGGGTTCGAATCTCGCAAGGCGGGATCGTTGATACACACTATTGAGGAGTCCCACAACAGGACGAAACGGCCATCCAGTGTTTCTAGGTTTTCATGCTGATCTAGCTTCAGTTGAATCATGATCTCAAATATTGAAATTTATAAATATGCTGAATTCTAAACTGAACAAACCTTCATATACCAGTTATGTTTATTCACCTTAGTACATTATGCATTGCTACTGATTATCACCAATAAATGTCCCATACTAATTTCATTATTATTATTATTATTATTATTATTATTATTATTATTATTATTGTATTTTATTTAGCCTAAAGTGATTCAATGGAATTTACCTGCTCGTGATGGTATTATTTGGTTATTAGATGGTATATTAAAATGTCCTGAAAAAATTTGTCCATTAATTGTTGAAGATGTAGATTATTATGATGTTTATGTAATGGCATGTCAAACATCAGTATTACCTGGTGAAAAAGATCCTGTTGCACAATTTGAAAGTAGACCATTAGATATTGCCAGTCGACATCCTACTCTATGTACTGTGGTATTACAAACAAGTGAAACGACGGTTACACTTATTGAATCTTAATTATAATAATAATTCATATTAGAATTATCATAGAAAGTAATAAACAATCCCAGGATGTGTTTTAATTCCTTTGAATTTATTCCCTTCAAATATAAACCTAATATAATCATAGTATTCATTATTATGGAGTTTTATTAAAACGTACTTCATTAAACCCTCTTTCTATGTATACTTGTTATATTTAATTTGAATAGGATGCTTTTAATTGAACGATTTTTCAAGTTATCAACGTGAATCACATATAAGAGCTATGATATGAGATTCGATAATAGAATATAAGGTGGAGATGGATGGTGGTTAGCAGTTGAATCCAAAATGTGCGTTTCACCCTATTTAGGACTTTTCAAATGGATGGACCTAGCTCCTAGAGTTGATGGTCATTACGGGACTCGAACCTAATACGTTCTTCTTAAGTGCCATTGCGTTATCTACTTAGCTGCTGAGTCCAAATAACTGTTAGCTTATGTAATTAAGTGAACATTAACACTGGGATGCAAGTACATCCAGCTGACAAGTCCCAAGTAGGAAGAAACGTGTGTCAAACTGGATTCCACTGCTAGACACCATCCATCTTTACTCATAGTGCCTGTAACTTAAGGTAATATCGAGGCAATCCTCACAGGATACACATATGTCAATAAGAGATTGACTAATTGCAGCCCTAAATATCAATGGGAAGTCTCAAACCACCAATACAAAAATGAGTTAGAATATGAGGTGATGGCAATCAGCTGACAAATGATCATGGGTCTAGGTTTCGTGCTAGCTATTGCTGATTAATTTTTTACCGGAATGCTAAGACAACGACTTCTCAACCACTTCCCAAACCTCTAAAGATTTTTATTTCCTTAACCGCGAACAGAAAAAGCCTTATATATATGAGTGAGTATATATGAAGTTATCTGATGATAGGACTAAAAACTTCAGAAGTGGTGAAGTAGTTATTCTATGAAGTTCGGAAACTGTTTAGATGGATCATTTACCAATTAAATTTTTAAAAAGTTTACAGATGTTTTGACAATGAAATGAGTGAACAGCACTTTACTTACTCACGTCTGTTACTCCTCGTGGAGGAGCATAGGTCGCCCACTAGCACTGGCCATCCAATTATCCTGAGCAATCCTTTCCAGATCTTTCCAGTCGCTATTCATTCTTTTGATATCTGCCTCCGATTCCCGATGTAGTGTGTTCTTTGACCTTGCTTTTTTCGTTTACCTTCTGGATTCCAAGTTAGCGCTTGCCTCGTGATGTACTTTGATGAGTTCTTCAAGGTGTGTCCTATGCGCTTCCAACGTCTTTTCCTAATTTCCTCCTCAGCTGGAAATTGGGTTTTTTCTCTCCCACAGTAGGCTGTCATTGATGACATCTGGCCAACGGGCATTCAGTGTCTTACGTACACAGTTTTTTATAAATATTTATACCGTTTTTATTATGGTTGTAGTAGTTCTCTACGTTTCAGCTCCGTATAGTAGGACTGTCTTGACATTCGTATTGGAGATTTTGAGAACGTCAGAGTGGCTGAGCGGTCTAAGGTGCCAGACTCAAGAGTGAACAGCACATACAAATAGAAATACTAAGCTCAGAAGAAACTGCAACTAGCTCGTCATACATCTAAATGAATTCCTGTGGATATACATTTATAAGTAGATAAGCTTTAAGGACTGCAAGTGCTTATGATGTTTCTTAATACAAAGTTCATGAGCATGGTCAAAAAGGGTTCCTACAATCCTTTTTATTCATCGTAAACTTCACTCCACTTGTTATTCAAATGAATAGATCTTTGAAGCTCCTACTCTAATGTTCATTGAATTCCGATATTCAGGAAAAGAAATTTTCCTACAACCTCACATTCCATGGTAAATTTGATTTTCCTTTATACTTCATTAAAAAAATCAAGTAGGTGAATAGAATGCTTCAGAATATTGTAAACAAAATAAATGTATCATTAATATATCTACAACAGAATATAGTTTTGTCAATCGGGTGTTTTGACTTCGTCAGTTCCATGTCCCCCTATTAATAATCCTATCTCATTTATTACTTTGGTTACATGAAAACACATAAAGGAAACCAACAGTGTGAAATGCTTCATTTCAGTTAGATTGTAAGCAAAAATGTAATTGTGAAAAAAAAGGAATTGCTAAAGAAATTGTGAACTCATACATCAAATTACTTATTACATTATTAAAAAGCCTGTCTACATCATTTTACCATTTAGAGGTGATTCAAATAGCCTTTTATTGAAACAAAGGCTTAAATCAGTCACCAACAAAACGTATTGCGCAGTAAAAGTCACTATCAAAGAAAGAACAAGATGCATCCTTCATACAAAACCTAAAAAATATAAAAACGATTGTGTCACATCCAAATGTTTACCAATTTAAATGTCTGTGTGGTCACATATACATAGGGAGGAGCAGTCGTGATCTCAAGACTACGATGTGTGAACATATATCAAAATGGTTGCAGAAACAAATAGAATCGAATGACCCAATATGAGTAGAGGATAAACATTCATCATTCTCTATTGCCAAACATATAATCAAAAAAGGCCATAAGATTGATCTTAACTCGGCTTTTTGGTGTTGGATAAAAGTGTAAAAGGGGTGTATACTAAGGTTTATTGAAGCCCTAGCCATACGAAAATTCAAACCCCCTTTGTGTGTTCAAAAACAGTTTGTTCTCATCTTAAACGTATCCTTGTAATATTAGCTTATTATCAGAGTGATGAGGTTTCAAGTTGTTTCCACACTGTCTCTTATTAATATCCTTGTCACCTCTTACCCTCCATTTCTAATCTAGTTGACTTTAATCTTTTTATATAAGTGTTCTTAACAAGTATATTATGAGTGATCAGATTGTTCGAAATGTTAATATATCATTACATAGTTCTGATAATCCTTGTCTTCTTATTACACTATCGAAATTTATCAAAGGGACTATTTACTTTATATTACATCTTTGTTGAGAAGCCTACTCGGTTACATTGAAAATTACTAAAAATCGATAACACTTTTTCTTCACGGCAAAAATCTGTTACTATTCCAATCAGCCATTATTTTCAATCCTTGGAAACAGTATGGAAAGACTGGATGAAAAATGCTAGTGGGAGGCCTATGCTCCTTCACTAGGGGTAACAGGTGTAAATAAGTAAATAATAAAAAAAGGATGATTTCGTTTTGGCTAGATTTTGCTAACAAATTACTAGTAGTACTATAATGAACGAGAACACATAAGTGAGGACAATCAAATGTATTTGAGTACAAAATTATAGAATCTCTTGGTAAAATCCGAGAACCATATAGTAAATACTTCATTTACAAAATGCCAATCAATTGTCTCAGACTTTGTTCCTTCGTTTCCATACCGATCATTCTCTGTTCTCGTTCTCGTCTCTTTGACCTACTTAACCTTTCTGCCACCAGGCATTTCATTTTCAATTGATTATACATACTACTCATATCTGTCGACATCAGTAGCACATACCGCAGTACTACTATAATAATTCTTTAAGAAAACCAGTGAAACAACAGAAAAAACACAATTTTATGAATCAATAACAAATCAACAATCTGTAGACGATAACTACCAAACTGGAATTGTTGAATAGGTGAAAGCCACCGAGAGATTTTTAAATTGTATATTGAATGATAACTTAAATGTTAGGAACCTTTTTGATTTGAAGTTCACCTTAAAATTTTCCAACTGAGTTATGGAGTGAATAAATTAATTCACGTATAGGGGATTCATACTGAGAATTACCATGTGCTTACTAACGACTACTTCGTGAGGGAATTCTCGAAGTTTTAGTGAGAAGCGGTGACCAGTGGAGCTAATCCATGTCAATTAGAGGCAGGTATCTACCTCAGACAATGGATGAATTGTTGTACAGCTATTCGTGGATCGATGGAAGTCAGATTTTAGTGGCCCGTAGTCTTGCCGTCGTTTAGATAAGACGATGTTCGTTGAAGGGCTCACCATTTTAGTGGCCCGTGGATCTGACTCCTATTTAGATCGTACGAATGATTGTTATCGCCTATTCTCGTATATCATCGTCGACTTGAATCGCGTTAGTCAATAACGGAATTAAATAAGTCGAATAACGAGAATTGACTTGTGAATACATATATTTTGTATATGAAGCGATTGAAACAGAGCAAATCAAAATGACACGCAGGGAAGATGGCTGGGAAGCCAACTTCATTTTAGTCAAGCTTTACTCAATATTTATAGTCAGACAAAATAAAGCTACAGACATGTTATTAATGGGATAAGAAGGGCACACACATATACGGTCATATAAAAACAATCAAGACTGACAAGCGAATAATTAACAAGGTCAAAGTATGGCTCAAGTAGAATGAATAAAAATTGGATGTCCGAAAGCTAGAATAAGGTATGTGGGCTTAACATAGTAACTGACACTACAAGATATCAACACCGTTCTATGCCTTCTCAAGGGTCTGGAGGTTAAGCGTCTGCGCGTGAGACCGAAGGTCCTGTGTTCGAATTCCATGAGCTGGATCGTGGATGCGCACTGCTGAGGAGTCCTACAATAGGAAGGAACGTTTGTCCAGTAGTTCCAGTTTGGTGGTCTAACACCAATCGGATCATGATCTCAATCAAAAACATGATAATCTCCACAACCCCATAGTGATAGGGTATTCAAGTGCTATGGTATTCAGTTAAATTATTCGAACGGTATTTCAAAATGGGACATTAAAATACATAATTGAACGTTGGACTTTATGACTCCAATCTGTACATGGTGACTAACAATAATAAAAAACTTCATTTTTGCTACAACAACACATAAAATTAAGTTGTATAAATTTTCGAATTTGAGCACTCTTCAACACACTCTGTCCTGAGCCTACCTTTCTAGTTCTGTCCAACGGTTGTTCATTCTTATCATGTCTGTCTCCATTTCTCAACGTATTGTGTTCTTTGGTCTTCCACTTCTCCCTTCGCCTTGAGAATTCCATGTGAGGGCATGACTTGTGACACAGTTGAATGCTTTCCTTAATGTGTGTTCTATCGACTTCCAACTCTTCTTTCTGATTTCTTCCTCCACTGGAGTCTGGTTTGTTCTCTCCCACAGTAGGTTGTTGATAATAGTGTTTGGCCAACGGATCCGGAGTCTTTTGTGTAGACAACTTTTAATAAA